TAGAATCGCACTCAAGAGAAGTGGGCTTTTTTGCTGCAACTCCGGCAATGTCATGTCAAGCGGGATGACAACACAGGGGCAGTAATAGGCCATCTCCGTCCGGTACTTTGTCAATATCGCCGATGCACTTTCACGAGTAAAATCGAGACTTTCATCCCACGGAAGAGCCAATTGTGAGGGTTTCTGTGCGTGGTGTCTGTCCGCCTGTTCAGTCTTCGATGCTGCGTCAGACGTTGTCTGGGATGCTACGCCAACAAGACAAGCCACAGTCTCAAGCTTCTTCTTGAGTCTCGCAACATCCCTTTGAACAAAGTTAACAGCCAAACCCCCTGCGGATCTCGTGGGTACCTACAACGGAGAGGTAGGCTTGCTCTTGTGAGCCCCCGGCGGCTGAGTGATACACTCCCTCTTCAAACGAGAACATCTAGCCTTATTTAACGGAGCTCAATGGACTTGAACTGAGAAAGTATCGTACCGCTTGCACCCACCCGTCTCTTGTTGGTCACATTTCACTTTTGCGTACGCGCATTGCTGGCATGCCTTTGGCTCGCGGATTCTTACTGGACGCCTTCTAACCATTGGCAACACTTGCTGACCAACAACTTGAGAAAGTAGCAGTATAAGGCTGGCTGTATGGCTCTTGTCAGAGGGCTCGTGAGTTGTCATGGCTGAGGGGGCCGAGGGCTTGAGGCTGAGATCACTGGGCACGGAATTCCGTGTTCCGTTTGAGCCAATCATTTCCAGTCAACACCGGTTAAGGGGTGAGATTTAGTCGGCAACGGCCACACAGAGTGCCGATTCGGGTAAAGTGATTTCCTAGCTTATATAGAGAGGCGCCCACCATGTCAGATGAATCCATCAAAACATTATCGGAGAGAAACACAAAATCACTTTATTAGTCTTCAAATACCTTTTTGTTGAAGACAAACAACTGCCCGGAAAGACCTGACAACTAGCATCATGTATTTAATCACCACAAGCATTGAGATCAATGCTCCTCCAGCAACGGTCAGAGAGAAGGTATGGCTTCCGTTGGATGCTAAGAAACAATAATTTCGACCATGAATAATTTGTCTTTCTGACACTTCCCACCAGTTTCTGGACTTTTCATGCATCCCGAAATACTCGCCCAATGGATTCATCCGCTCGATATCAGCCGTTGACCCAACTAAATCATCTATCGATCTTCAACCTGGTGACAAATTGAATGTCTGTGCAGGCTACGGAAAGATGAAGTTCTCGCCCGTCGTCTCATCAAACATGCAGTCCATGTTTAGCTGGGTTGGTTCTATCCCAGGGATTTTCACCGGGGAGCATATGTTTCGATTCGAGGAAATTCCGGCCTCGGGACAGGAACAGAGCCGCACAAGGTTCGTCCATGAAGAGACGTTCACAGGTCTTCTTTCATTTCTCATGGGGGAGAGCTTCCTCGCCAGCTATGTTGGTCTGGCGGAGGATTCAAGGAAGGGGTACGATGGGTTTAACCATGATCTCAAAGCTTGGGTTGAAGAAGAGCGCACAGAATAGCGAGCTACGCCCGATATAGTTTGCTACCTGTTGTCTAACAATTATTGTTTATTCTGTCCGTCTGATATCCCATGCTGTGTCCAAGAGAAGCGTCTCTTCTCGAGTCATTCCTCGCATTCCATCTTTCTGTGCTCTGATACACTCTTGGTTTCGTGTCTTTGTTGAATTGAATGATAACCACCGTTTCTCGAGTTTTGGCCTTCTGTCAAAGATTCAGCCGTAATGGGTGTTTCATCATCCAGCCACTATAGACGATCCAGAAACACTTAACAGTGGTTCAGCTGAGGATTCTCACTCACATTTTAGATCATAACTCGAGACACAAGCTTGTAGGTTCAATAGAATGAATACTGTGTTTATTTAATAATTAATAATGAAATCCTTCAATTAATAGTGGCTGATGTGCTATTAGCAGAGTAACGCAAAGGGCCCGTATCTACGAAAGAAATGGTCTGTACTCTATTTATTATGAGTGACCATGGATTCAAGGTTATTAAGGAATGCATGCATGTAAATACTCACGTAGACTTTATGAGAGTGGTAAGTTTATTTTCTATTACTATGTTGAGTTGGTGACTTTAGCAGCATTATATTTTGAGCTTCCTGCCACATTATTGACGTCAGCTATATAATGTAAGGTAACCGGAGTGGGATTCGCTGACCTTCTAAAGCACTTATAACTAATATGTAGAGACTATGATATCTACTTCTCAACCAATTATCAGCTGCATCTTCCATCAGGTGGACACATAAGAGGAAGTGTAGACCAACGGATACCCCGGAGCAGTGATGTCACTGATCACCAGACCTCCAACCACATGCCACAAACCGAACACCATCAATAAATTCATTCAGGCACTATAGCCATCAACACTAATCTTTGTATCTCACCGGACAAATCAATTGAGGATGGAGGGAACTACATCACCGTACACTAGCATAGAAGACTATGGCCTGGTGGGGGACATGCACACCTGCGCCCTGATCAGCAAAACTGGCAGCCTTGACTACATGTGCTGGCCTGTCTTCGATTCGCCCTCCGTCTTCTGTCGCATCCTTGACTGTACACAGGGAGGACACTTCTCCATATCCCCAATACCGGATATCCAACCAATCAGCAAGCAGCGATATCGACCGTACACTAACATGTTGGAGACCCGATGGATCGACGAACAGGGGGTGGTTAGTCTACTCGACTACCTGCCTGTATCAAGTCACAACTCGCGCTCGGAGTGGTGTATTTGCGATGACCCCATTGCTCGTAATGATCCGCAGAGACCATGTCATTCAGGTGTTGTTCGAAGGATCGAATGCGTGAGGGGTGAAATGGAGATGGATTTTGAGATCTTTCCTGCGTTCAACTATGCAAGAGACAGACACACTGGCCATTGGATCACTCCAGAGAACTCCAGCGGCGCGCTCAAGAAATATTCTTTCGAGAGCGACACGCAAAAACTGAACTTGACTATCCATTCTGGTATCGACACTTCGCTTGAGCCAGCTGATGCCATTTCCCCGGTGGATCTAAAACTCCAGGAGAAGGAAGGACCGAAAGGGCCTGGACTACATGCCAGGGTGAGGATGAAAGAAGGGCAATCAATCTCATTTGTGCTGCACGACCCGGAAACGAGTCTTCCTGAGGAGGGCTCCTTACGACACTACCTGGACGGACTGGAAAAAGAGACGCTGGACTTCTGGGGTGGCTGGATCGCCCGTTGTACGTTCCGCGGTCACTACAGAGAACAGGTTGAGCGTAGCCTGTTGGTGCTTAAGCTTCTCACCTACAAACCTACCGGAGCAATCGTTGCAGCTCCTACGTTCTCCCTTCCCGAGTATGTCGGGGGGTCCCGGAACTGGGACTATCGGTACTCCTGGCTTCGTGATGCTGCTTTTGTCGTGTACGTGTTCCTCAAGAACGGCTATCCCATGGAAGCCGAAGCGTACATCAACTTCATCTTCGACCGCATCTTCCCTCCAGTGAGGGATAACGAATGCGTAGCCGACGCTCCATTCCTGCCCATAATGGTGACGATTCGAGGGGAGAGCGACATTCCGGAAACTGAGCTGGACCATCTAGAGGGATACAAGGGTAGTAAGCCCGTACGTATCGGAAACGCCGCTGCAAAACATATACAGCTGGATATCTATGGAGAGCTCATGGACAGTGTCTACCTCTACAACAAGCACGGACGGCCTATCTCCTATGAGCAGTGGGTCGCCGTCCGACGCATGATGGCGCATGTAATCAGAGTTCGAAACGAGCCCGACAGATCACTGTGGGAAGTCCGAGGCAAGGAGCAGAATTTTGTCTACAGCAAAATCATGCTCTGGGTTGCGCTGGACAGAGCAATACGTCTAACAGAGAAGCGGTCTAATCTACCGTGTCCAGATGTGGATCAGTGGAGGCGTGCGCGTGATGAGCTCTACGATGAGATCATGACCAAAGGCTTCAACCTCAAGGGAAAGTATTTCTGCATGAGCTATGAGAATCAGGATGTGCTCGATGCAGCTGTTCTTATTGCACCGCTGGTATTCTTCGTCGCTCCAAATGATCCCAGATTCCTGTCCACTCTAAAGAAGATCATGTGTGCCCCGGCCAAAGGCGGGTTATCAATTGCCAATATGGTATCCCGGTATGACCACACAAAAGTGGATGATGGTATGTTCTCTCCTACACGACTACTTTCCCTACTGACCCAAATCCAGGAATTGGTGGCGGCGAGGGCGCATTCGTCATGGTGACTTTTTGGCTAGTCGAAGCAATGATGCGTGTACGTCTTCGTTTCCCTCCGGGAACCAGCATACTGACATGGTATTCAGGCCTCAAAAGCAATGCCATATCAGATGGACGATCCATTCTACCCCCAACTGCGAAAGGCGGCGGTTGCCCACTTTGACAACATGCTCTCCTTTGCAAATCATTTAGGCATGTTCTCAGAAGAAGTGGCCATATCAGGGGAGCAGATTGGGAATACACCACAAGCCTTCAGCCATCTTGCGTGTGTTAGTGCTGCGATGAACCTTGGGGAGCAAGGCGAGAGATGAAAACCCGCACTTCTATCGATGCTCACTCCTGATATTCAACTGAAGTTTCCGGTACATCTCCAATAATCTAGATATACCTCATGTACCTAATCATTCGGCACATGGATCTCAATACGTAAATTCCTCAACTGTCGACGAGCATTCTGACTCCCTCACAGTATTATTTAGATAATGCACAGGCCTGTAAATCAGTAGTCAGACCGTAGCGCAGATCCTCGACGGGAATTCTCAAAATAGAACCTGCGATGCATATTTGGTAGATAAGCATGTGCGGTACAGCCGTACCTTCTAGGTCTTAAGGCATCGGCATTCAAAACACCAATATTCTATACTTGTATCCCTCATGGTTATGAAGATTGGAGATATTCTATTATACAAATTCCCAACCAAGAGTGGAAAAGACCGCAGGCATGTCGAATGCCGCCTGTTTATCCCTGACCTCCAAAGCATACCTTAAGAGCATCATAACACCCAAGAAACAATCCACCTCCCAGCCCAGCCGCGAGGCAAGTCAAAGCCCCGCCTCTGAAAAGACCTCGTATACCCTCCTTCACTAATACACCCCTCGCTACAGCCACAGCATTAGCAGACGATACCCTCTCTACCTTCACTGACGGAGGTATGGGCCGAATATCGGCCTTCAAGGGCAGTCGAGCATAGGTGGGAGTACCCGCCGCAAGCCTCATGCGCGTCTTCACCACATCAACCGGTACGAAGAGCAGCGACACCACCGCGCTGGCCAGTGCACCGCTGTAGAAACTTCCCTTGAAATGAGCACTAACATCACTGGAACCCTGCGGTACCTCAAACCACGAGGACTTGAGATACTCATACGTCGAGAACGTCAGACTCGTCCCGGGGAGATGGCCAGCCGCTAGCATGGTGTACCCCGCCCAGAGCTTAGTCGGATGCCTGGAGAAGTGCTTGACGGTCGATAGCAGCGGCGAGCGACTATGCCCGGATTGAACATGCACGACTTGAGCATTCTGCTTCAGCACCTCGGCGGGATTAGTGATGGCGCATGCTACCAGATCTGCTACTGCGCTGCTAAGCGCGTACGTGGCTAGCTCGCGAGACTTTGATGGTTGAGTGTCCTCGTTAGGCTGAAGCGTTGATTTCATGGTTTCGTAGATTGTGAAGAAGGCGACTGATGCGGGGATACTGGTGATAATCGTTGGGCCGAAGCCTTGATATAACCCTCGGTAGAGAGCCGGGTTGATGCCGCCATTTGCACGTTGATATGTTGAGGCGTAGGCGGGTGATTGTAATCGAGTAATGAGCGTGTCGAGTGGGTGAGTGAGCAGCTCAACTCCTACTGCGGCTATGCCTGCTGCCTAAATGGGATTAGTTGCACGCAAGGCCATTATTGTATATGGTACGTACAAACGAGACGTCCTTGTTACTGCCATCGACAGACATGGTACTGACGATGAGCTCTCATGCCTGGTAAAAACCGGTTGTTATATTTTAGACGTTAGTTGGAGGAATTAATGGCGTCGTACAGGTCAGAAATATGGTCTTGGCATGGAACTGATCGGCTTCGGATCTCCGATGGCACGAGAATGGAATCCGCGGATCCCGTATACAGAAATATATCAAGCTTAAACTTGATTGAAGCGCATAAAACACAAATACTACAATCTGAAATCCCTATATCATCATGCCCAGCATGTATTCACCCTTCCCGCCTCCACTCAATGCCTCACCCCACCACGAAAGAAAGGCTACCCTGTCCTTCAGGTTTGCATGCCATTGCGCAGGTTATCATACTGCGACACCGGATAGTCCAATTCATTCTGACTCTGTTCAAAGGCTCCCGTGCCTCCGAGTGCATTTACTACCTGAGAGGATATCAGCATTGGACCAGCAAACCGCTCAAATAAGTACTCACCGTGGTAATCAGACTATCACTTCCGGTCTTATCGCTGCTGCTGTCCCACCACATGGCGCCTCCCAATCCCAAGGTCTTGATATAGCCAGACTTCATAGTCGCCACTTGAGGGTTGTCATAGCTGATCAAGAACTTGTTCGTCGCGTCGTAACTGTAGCTCGCCATGATGTTGGGAAGGACATGCTCCGTGGCGCCAGCTTGAGGGAGCGCCTTGTAGTCCCACACTCCATTCTCCCAGCTCCCCTGGCCAACGCCATTATAAGGCTTGCCAAGTCCGTCGGTGTTGGCAAATGAGCGGCCGTAGAGAGGCATACCTAGGACTATTTTGTTGGCGGGGACTCCGCCGGCGCGGTACAGATCGAGTGCCGTCTGGGTGTTGAATGGTGTGGAGAGCGGGTTGGAGGTGTCGTTGTAGACGTTCGCTTGATGGCCGGTGAGGGAGGAGAAACTGCCGGCGTAATCGTAGGCCATGAGGTTCCAGAAGTCCAGTTGCTGATCCATGTCTTTGAGGTGAAGGACCTTTATCTTATCGGGACCTGTGCTAGATCAGACTGGTTCAAGTGGTCGAATGGGACGGTGCGTACTAACCAGCTGGAGAAGCTACCGTCAGAAGGAAGTGCTGGCCGCCTGCATTTGCAGCACTGTAACTGTCGAGGGCCTAGTGACCTTAGTAATATGTCCATTAAGGGCCGCGTTCATCAGCACATACAGTTCTCAATTCCTTGAGCAACAGCACAAAGTCGTTCGCTTGCTGGTCGTTTTCAGGGTACTAGGCCTATTAGCCAGTGTCAACGTTGAAGTCATACATCAGCTCACCTCCCAATCAATATCCAGTCCATCAAATCCCAGGTCCTGCAGCAGCTTCACCGCAGTCTTCGCAAAGTTCTTCCGTCCAGCATCGGTACTAGCCGCCGGAGCAAAGTTGGGAGAATAGGTCCACCCGCCAATGGACAAGAGAACCTTGAGGTTACGGTTCTGCTTCTTCAACAGATACAGCTGTTTGATACAGCCGTAGACATTGTTGCCAGTATCAGACCAGGAGTCACCGGGGTAATGTTTCTCAACGTCAGCCCAAGAGTCTGTCATATAGACCTCCCCCGTTTCAGGGCGCACATTTGCAAAGGCGTAGAGGACGTGCGTGAGCCTCTGGACAGGAAGGTCCTGGGGATTATGGTTGCGCCCGTAGATTGCCTAAATAGTGAGAAGGGGCATTCAGTGTGGTGTGAGATAGTACTAACCCAGTTGACAAAGTAGACGATTGAGCGATAACCGGAGCTAGCGCGCTCCTCCAGATCAGTACTGCTGGCATCGCGATTCCACATCACTGCGGCGTCGACACAGAGACTGCCGAGCAGAAGGGCGATCTTGACGATGGTGGAAGTTGCAAAGCGCATTGTTGTCGTTCAGTCGAGCTTGTCAATGTGTGAGCTTGTCGGATGAAGTCGTCCTGTACTCTGTAAATACCACGAGATACGCTCCCTATTTATCTCTGAAGCTCCTGGTCTTCATCGCTACCTACAACACTCGCCATACAGCGTCGCTTCCGGGTCAAGTCCCATCGTCGCGTTGTAGATATAATATCATCCAGAACCCTATCACCAGTAACCCTGATGGCAACGTGTCACAAGATAGGGATCAAATCAGATGCAGAGATAAGGCAGCGATTCAGTGAAGAACCAGGTTCCGGTGATCCGACGGCCATAGATCTTGCAGTAATCTCGAGTCACAGGCCAGGTTTCACGTACCTGACCATCCTGCATGCGACGTCGGCAGATGTAAGTGGTCTGGGCTTTCTGCCCAATGAGAGCTTCACTTTGTGCAGAAAAGGCAATGTGACTGACCGCGTGGAGGGCCGCCAAGGCGCTTAGTCGCGTGAGGGGTCTCCTTAATCTCCAGTTCGATGTAACGACAGGAGGACGTGTATATCGAAGCACATGCCCTTCTTGGTTATTATTCCGCTGTTTAATGGGTCAAAAGGGGTTTGCAGCAGCTGAAAGGGAGCATGACGCTATGCGACGTGACCGTTGCCGCCGAGCCCAAGGGGATGTCACTATCACTCTCGCTTTCAATTTATCAACTGGGCAGTAGGACTTGCAACAGCCGAGATTACGGCTCTTCAAACCTTGAGTAATGTAACATACCGATGATGTTAATATCTTCCTGCCAGGGTCTTGAAGATACACTGGGGTTGACCCCGCGCGATGGAGTGCAGTCCGGGGTTGAAGCTGCCGAACCTCTATATTCTGGTCAGCTATTCCGATGCATACGTTTCAGTCGAAATATGTGGGGACGCCATTCCATCTCACTTTAATTTGCGTGTCCTTCCACATAGTAGCAGTCAGTAATGTCTGTGGGACTAATATATAGAGTAGCTCGCACATGTCATATTCATGAAGTTGGGAACATCTCCGTTGAACCGATACGATACCTATTCCGTCAATGATACAGACAGCGAGCATCTCACATCCAGTGCATCAGTACAGATTGGCCAGCAACTATTTCACAGCGATGCGTGTTGAGTTAACTACGGTAGTAGTGTCCTCTTCTGCCGAGAGCACATGCTGACGTGAGAACCTCTTCTGCCCCTTGACGAACCAGTAAACCGTGGAGATGATGAGAACCACACCGATGACCACGACGCCGTAATCTGGAAAACAGTTAGCCATTTAGCAACAGTTTCTTTCGGAGACGACACGCACTCGTGCTTCGGCCTGTTACCGGAAGAGAAGGCGGGAATAGAAACAGAATTGTGGTGAGAAGGATGTAGGCAATGGCTAATATAGACGAGGATTGCCTGCCATGGTTGAACAGCGAGATTCTGTATCCGTTAGCCTCCCTAATAAATCCATAAGGTCCGTTTCATGTCGCTTCTGAGTTATGGAGAAGCGAGTATAAGTGGAGGGAAGGATAAGTACTAGATTGTCAAGGACTGCGATGTTCATAATCAATGAACTCCCGAATAGCGAGGCAGTCGCAGGGAGGCATATCTAGTGAAGGTCTAAGCTGTTTCTAATCTTTCCAGTCGAGAACGGTCAGATAGCTCGAACAAGACGGTTGCCATTAGAAAACCTCTACCCGTAGGTGTCGCTTTTTACTGTGCAACACCCTCCGTCTCCCCAACCCGAATCACCATCTTCTTGGCCCTGACCGTCCCGTCCTTAAGCCCTCTCAATGCCCCCTCCAAACCTCCAAGGCCTCCCTTCACAACCTCATACGGGTGCGCGGTGAGCCATCCATCTCTCAGCCCCCTGGCGAAGACAGCCGACCAGACCGTGCCAAACAGGGGCACCTTGTGCACGTGAGCCACCGTCATTCTCACAAGCTCCACGCTCGGATCCGCCGCGCTCTCATCCACAGGCAACACGTGCGTGATCCTCGGCTTCCTGCCATTGGCGTCTGGCGGCCCAGCAATGACCTTGCTCAGAGTGACATACGTCTCATTCTCCGAAACGCAGTCGTACGCATCGTATGCGCGTCCATCCTCGACACCAGCTTCCTTAATGGCATCCTTCAGTGCGATGGCCAGCTCTTCGGACGTCTTGTATGCCGTGTAGTCCACGATCCGGTCACCCTTGCCAGGATTCAAAACCGGCACGACAAACTCGCTGTTCTTGCTCCCCACGGCGATAATGGGGTGAATGTTTGCTACCTGCGCGAGCTTGATGGCAAATGCGCCAATTGCTGTGGACGCGCCGTAGATAATAACAGGCCGCTTCCCCTTGCTGTCCTGCGTGGACTCGGCGTCCCACGGCGACGGAAACTGGAGCTGATAAAACAGCGCGACGGCGGAGGTGTACGCAGCCAGCGGGATGGTGGCGGCCTCCTCGTAGGAGACGGCCGACGGCAGGGCGAAGACGGTATTCGAGGGTGCAATGGCGTACTCGGCAAAGGCGCCGTGCGGAGTCATCATGACGTGGAATGCAGCGACCCGGTCGCCCTTAGCGAAGCCGAAGACATTGTCGCCAACGGCCTCAACTGTGCCGGCAATATCATCGCCCGTATTGGTGCCGTTGCTCGTCGGCAGCCAGCTGGGCAGTTTCCAGTCCTTGGGGTTGGTGCCTGGCAGCCGTGTCAGCTGGATTTGAAAGTGACGACGTCATCGAAGCTTGTCGAGCATGAGGAAGGAGAGACAACGAACCTGCAACGACGACTTTGATTAGGACCTCGTCGGGCCCAGGCTTTGGGACGGCGACATCCTTGATCTCGACCTTAATCTCCTTGTTGACGATAGCTTCCTTCATGTTAGCGAGTGAGTCTGGTGGGATAGCTTGCAGTGTGGTAGATTGTTGGGTGTAATGCTTTTGTCGTTGAGTCCGTTCAGGCTTTTGCATCGAACTTCCAAAGCGCAATCCATCTCTTAAATGCTACAGAAAACGAAATGCTTGCAACAGGATAGGGGAAGAGACATCCCGAATGGCCTACAACCTGACAAATACATCCCCCGAAGCTCCACCACGAAACTTACATCGTGATCACATAATCGTGCTGACACCTAATGACCACGAAAATCATTCGCCGAGAGTCGCATGAGATAGCGATCTCGAGCTCCAGACACTGTTAGAACCCCTCTTATTGCAGAGTTGACGGATTTACCGTTCGTTAAACCCTGAATCAGCTGACAAATAGCGAACGAAAAATGGACTGATTGATAATACCATCATTATGAAAAGTGGGGTGTTAGTGCGGTGTTCATTGATGGTGAAGAATCTTTGGGCAGCTTCCCGGTGGTGCACTATTGCGCTACCACTTGCAATACTAACGACAGATCCATCGAGCAATCACTAATCAGTAGAAAAGGGAAACTGCCGCTTGCGCGTCTCAACCTGGGACCCAGGATTGTGAGCCGAGCTTGAAGAAATACATCATGGCGCCCGCTTCCTGCTCCTGATATGCATGTCAACCTAACCAATGGACGAACAAAGAGAAGTTCCCCTGACTGATACAGACACAAGCACAGAACATGACCTAGAGAAGCCCTCATCCTAGGCATGGCATCAGCTTGGGACCCCTGCTCCTGGGCCCCTTGAGTGAGTTTCATGGAAGGGGCCCCATATACCTCGTTGCCTGGGCCATGTACATTATCTGGATCATCCCGTCGGCTGTGGCCAGGAATATCGAGACGATGATTGTATCGCGGTTTTTTGATGGGGTATCTGGGAGTGCGTTCCTCGCCGTCTCACGGACGACGGTGAGTGACCTGTTTAGTCGGAAGGATCTCCAGGGGCCGATGCTGTTGTACTCGATGTCACCGTTTATCGGGCCGGCCGTTGGGCCCACGGTGGACGGCTTCGTCAACTACTACATCCAGTGGCGGTGCACGTTCTATCTGCTGCTCATCTGGGCGTTTGTCATGGCCTTGGCCATTGTGAGTGCGCAGGAAAATATATTGTCCCTCTGCCTTACCAACAGTCAACCACCTATTACCATTCCCGCTTCGACCTTCAGGTATATAGTCATGCAGCCTATTCGTAGTCTTTCCGATGAACCGAGTCACTAGCCCAACTTCGTTCAAAATAACTCCAAATCTTCACAGTAATTTCGGCCCCTGCCCACCTAAAAGCCAATAAAGGCTTAGACCCGCCAAAACCGGCACTTAAAGGAGCTTGATTCCCCCTAGTTTATCGGCAATTTCTACGGTACCAAATTCAGAAAGAAATAGTAACGGAACCACGAACAAAATGATTCGCTTCACCGATCTACCTTCCGAGATCCATCAGAACATAATCTCCTAGGTGGCCGCTCTCTCTTTACAATGCCGAGCTCTGCATTCTCTCCGCGACATGCCGAATCGGAAGGAATACCGTCGAGTGCGCATCACTCCGAGTATTTCTGATCTGGATTGCGCATTTCAGACGCTCATGGACATTCTCAGAAAGCCCAGTTTAGGTCACTATGTGCGCCATATTGAATATAGACAGACTAAATCGCGGTATCGCCTGTACGACGTGAAGCCTTATGAGCCGAAACCTGATGAGGAGGATATGCGGCTGCTGCGAAGTGCCACGCGGAGGGCAGGATTTACGGAAGCTCTACAAGAGCGCGTGCTCAATATGCTGCTGCGGAAATCGGTGGTGGGGGATCGTCTTTACGGCTTTTTTAGCTGGGATGAGGTCAGGTTCGATGGCAATGTCGGCATTAATGCATGAACAGTAATACCCGTGCCCCCGCGACCTACGTCACGCAAGCGTTGACGGCCCTGCTCGTCTCGGTGTCACCCAAACTCGAGTCTATGGCCATGATGCCGACTTTTTACATCGACATCAACGAGGAAGAGGACGATTCATTCGTGCCCTCCGAGTGTGACCTTGACCTGTTGCTCAGGGAGACAAACAAGGACTCGCTTGGCAAGCCGTACCTGGAAAACCTTCGCAGAGTGTATATGACCAATCTGGGGGATGACCACTTTGACGATGGGGAGGTGTATGTGGCCATGGACTTCATCGGATGCTTGGCCATGCTCCGCAACCTTCCGTCCCTTGAATGGATCAGGACTGATGTTCTCGCGGAAGATGACAACGTGAAGCCGTCACTCGAACCCAAATCCTCGAATGTGTCTTGCATCGCGATCCACCACTCAGATGTGTCTACCAGCTATCTACCGCCTGTCACCCGGTCGTGTAGAGCCTTAAAAGGAATTTGAGTACTCGATCGGTGGCAGGGGGTCGGCCAACAGTACACACGCGACATTAACCCGAGAACGTTTATTCTGAGCGTCCTGGAGCACAAAAGCACGCTGGAAAAATTAGATCTCGACGCCGAAGCGCATATAACAGACTTTAATTTTCGTGATCCAGGGGACTTCGAATTTGACGGGGAAGATGCACGAGCCGAGGCACAAGCCTATTGGGCTGAACCACCGCCAGACTCATTCTGGGACCAACGGGGGTCTCTCAAGGACTTTGAAGCCCTGAAACGGCTCAGTATCGGAGTTAATTTGCTGTTGTACTTTGCCGCGGGAGTGAACAACGAGGATGAGAACAAGAGCGTATCGTTGGTGAAGTATCTGCCACCGAATCTGGAGTACCTGTGCATCAAGGGATACGAGAAGGGCAGAAGGAAGCATAATGACGCTCAAATAGATGCTCTCAAGGCGCTGGTGGAGTCGGGTTCAACTTCGCTGAAGGAGATATATGGCGTCGATGAACTTATACCCAACGCCGAGGACATCGAGTTCCCAAACAATTATCCGGACCTATTGTGGAAGCTCTCTAATGGATGGTCGGACGAGGAGGAATACCGTCATGAAGAATGAAAATTCATGGATGCCCTATGCATTTGACGGCCTATCTTCTGTCGATCAAGGGTGGTTTTCGGGTGTTCGGCATTGTTGGCAGGTATCGGGCAACCGTATTAGTATCAGCGCCAGCTGATTCATGTACAGCCCCAATGATGTAGTCATACTCAAGACATGGCGTGTCACTTCTTCGGGTCTCACCTGTGCATATTGCTTAATCCCTATCCAATAGAAGTATACTCTTTAGCGAGAAGGAATATATTTAAAAATAACCTAACAGGACAACAAAATTTACATCTCCATATAGACGCAAACAAAATACCATGTAGCGAGACTACAACAACATCAATGGCTTTTCAGCTCGAGTACACTTAGGGCTCGCTTTCGGGATGATCGGTGTTAGAGATCTAGAAAATGTTTTGCGAATGAATTAGCGAAAGCTTGCTCGGCTTGTATCAAAGGACATCACCGACTGACAATTATGATTTGAGCCTGTATGTGTAAAGGCGATGTTCGGGACTCCTCTCTCAATGACGACCCATATGGGCATTCAGGATTAAATAACGGGGGCCGGTGGCCTGGACTATGGGACCCACGATCTCCCCAGGACACGACCGATGGTTGACTCTGGGGAACAACGTCCATCTGGTGTTCTTCGGAGCTATCCGAGTGGTGGTGATCTAGATAGTAGGCGCCAAGAGGTCAGTAACCTTGGTAATATACAGAATCGTGACCCCTGAGGTGCCAAATACACATGGAACAATGGGATTTGCAGCATTGAATATCACAGAACATGATCGTGCATACCAGAAAGTGGAAATTTTGCTCCTTTTGCTCGGTTCCACAACAGATGGAATGTATTGTGGCGGCGGAGGATGAACCGTACACCTGGAACACAAGCGATCAAAAGGGCTATCAAAGCTATAATCGCCTCTGCCGACAATGTCATTGTGGACGGAAATACGAAGGCTGTTTAAGAGGACTCTTGTGGAAATCAATGAGACATAAATCAGTTCAGTAGAAGTATTGCCCATGGAAACGCCATCTTTATATACACCTCGTCTGCCTTAGCGTGCGACAACATCCTTTCATTTATAGGGTTCTTGTTGGACTCGATGGTTGACTTGAGTGTAGAACTGAGGGTAGACCTACTGGTAAAATCCTACTAAGATACAGGGAATACCTCACATAGTCTATGTTCGATATCTGCTGCACCATCATTTCTGATAGCTAGAAATAGTACTCTTGGCACCGTTTCATTTCACTGGTTTGAGCACGTTCAAGAGTTTATCAGGGTGGATAGGTCCAGCAATATCCCTGCATCTTGATAGAAGTTTTTCTGAGAGCTAACCCCTGTTGGCTAAAACGACAGGGGTGTTCACACATAAGGACCGATGAAATGTAAGTTAAACCTCTATGAGGTTTAGTGTGTTGCCCATCCTGCCTTATCCTGTCTTATGCATAGTATCACATATCAAACTATGGCTTCGGTCCTGTCACTTTTGGAGGGTGTAGCACTTCTTTAGACATATCAAAACTATGCAAAACTAACACTCTCATGCATTACAGGTCTCTGTGAGCTATATCTGTGAACATCAAAAGCCCCTTTTCAACAGACAAAACTAACGTTAACTCCCCTAGGTTGCTTTCCTATTAGAAGCCTCAAACACTCTCATGAACTGACTAGCCCAAGCTCACTGCGAGAATCTTTTCGGATGGGGAAGGAAGAAGGGGTCTGTGCTAGTCAGCTCCTATATCTGCGCATCAATGGCTTGAGGCTTAAACATGCAAGATATATACTAGTATTCCATTAAGAAAATAAATATTCAATAATGACACGGCGAAGCGGAAGTCAGGAATGACTGTGTTTGAATCATTTTCAAGCGGCTTGTTAGTCTATTCTTTCCGTAGAATTTCCGCAAACAAATGAACAATGTGGAGCCATCCATCTAGAGGAGAATGAAGGACTAGTATTTCTTCTTCACATAAGAAACTAGCCACATGAATCGACATGTGAACTGAAGGACTAAGTCTCAGAAACAAGGTACACCAGCTTCCGAGCTCTAACAGACCGATTCTTTAAATCTTTCAAACCATCTAGAACCTTCCTTAGGCCCCCGCCCCTTTTCTCAACGACCAGTGTCCTGATCTTTCCCTGAGACCAGAGTGTGTTCACGATTCCTGCCCATTTCTTGGCGAAGTCAAACTCCGCTGGCATTCCGGGAATTACCATCCGATCAGGACCATACTCAAATGTCTCACCAATCGCGGTACAGCAGTTCGCGAAAGTTGCCTGCACGTCTGCGCGCGTAGTTTGCACCGGGAGCAATGAATGATACAGGCCTCCTGCGTCACCGATAGCCGCTTCGCAAATCCGCACAGACTCCTGAGTTGCTACAGTGTCACAGACGACTCTGAGGGTATTGCTGGTATGCTCGCGGATTTTTCGGGCACACATAGGGTGGCGATAATCGAAGACTTCGTCTGCTCCGTATTTGCGAACCAGATCGAAGTTTTTCGGCGAACACGTTGTGAGGACGGTGTATCCAGCCCTATTCAACAGTTTGCAACATGTCATTAGGACTCAAAAGCAAATATGGACGTACAGTTTAGCAAACTGGATAATCCAGCTTCCCGCCGATGTAGCTCCTCCATATACTAGAAGCGGTTCTCGATTCTCAACACGACCTTCATTCTCTGGCCAGCGCAGTTTGAGACAAGATGGTCCAAACAGACACTGTCCAGCTGTAGTTGCTCCCACACCCACAGTGGCCGCATCCTCAAAACTTACACCGTCTGGGATCTTCATCTGTACTGCAGCCTTCGCCACAATATATTCCGCAAAGGTACCGCTCTCGGGCCGGGTATTGTCTGCGCCCTTGACGAGTCCACAAACGCGATCACCAACCTCGAACAACTCGCGGACGGAATTTCCAACTGCCACGACTGTTCCGGCATAATCATGCCCCATGATTGCATGGGGGGACGGGGTAGTCTCCAGGAGCATCCAGTCGATTGGGTTCACGGCCACGGCCACAGTTCGAACCAGAATGTCTTCGTTGCGGAAGGTTGGGATGGGCCAGTTGGTAATGAACTCGGCATGACCCAATGACCGGGTAACCACGGCTGCCTGGGATGATCGCATGGTTGGAAGTACTTCCTTGAAGAGTTAGATCCCTGGATTTCTGACTATGTAATTAGGCGTCTACTCTTCTTCTTTATATATGTTTTGGGCGTCCATTTGGGTCGGCTGATTAGTTTTGGATTACTGATTTGTATCATCTGTCTTGTGTTCCAACCTTCATTTTGGAAAATCACTATACAGTGGCACATCGTGCGCCGCAATAACCGCCAATAGATCCACTCTTTCCCGCATTGCTTATCATATTCATCCGACAAAAGGCTCAGGCTGACTATATTTCTCCCCCCAAACTTGAAAATCGGGATCCACTATTAGCCGCACTGCTTATGCTGAGCTTGCTAAGCTGTCCCGTAGCCTGATATCGGGCTCGAGCAAGTATGCGGGTTAATTGAATATAGGCAAAATATTGATTCAATAATGCTAGGTATGCATGAAATCATCAAAGGTCGGAACCAGCTGTTTTGATGTCCTTTCCTGTACAGAGCCCAACCCTTTACACGCCACCAGCAACAGGTGCCTGAACTCATCGACTTGAACTAGTCCTCCTTGTTCCCAGTCACTCACAAATTCATCATACGAAATGACTCCCGAGATTGATTGCGCGGAGCTCTGCTCCCGTTCATAGATGAACTCCTCCCAGCAAAGCTCCGCATATGATTTAGTTGAAACCGGCAGCCCCACCAGATATTTGATATAGTCGCATCTTTGGAACTGGACCACCGAGTGAACGGCGCGCACCAGATACGAAATAATGACGAGTCGACGAGCACTCTCGCAAAGCACCCAGCTATTTAAATGGCTGTCAGAAAAATGAGAGTCCAGTTGTGTCTTGTCTCGGGTCGCCTGGCGGCTTGCTAGTTCCATCCGTTCTAGGTCGGCAGTGCCCTGCGCCAGCATACGGTCTAGTTGTCGAAGGAGCGGCTTGTCGTTGATGCCACCCGGAAGGAACAGGATATAGTAGAGGATCAGCGCTTGAATACGGTCCAACTGGCCTTGCACGCCAATGTGCGTTTGGCTAATTAGGCTCATATTATTGACGGCTGCGTTCAGGAGCTGGTGGTAGAAAGGCTTTTTGGCGTTCTTGCAGGTTCGATATGCTGCGCAGACCCCATAGGCTTCCCGCAGCAGAGGCGAAAGATCTGGTTTGCGATCGACGAGCGAACCAATGAGCGGCATTGCACCGGTATCCAAGAAGTGGTCAACGTAACTGAGGAAGGTCCTGACGCAAAATCCCCATGTTTCTCTGTCATGAACGCGGGGCCAAAATTCCAACACTCTGCGTTCAAGTCGGGGTAACGCTGAAGTGAAACCATCTGCTGAGCTGGGAAGAGGACGCCAGCTTGGCACCCCTTGAGGAAAGTTCCAGACTTGACTGGAAGTCATGGGGCCCTCTAGGAACCACATTGGGTCATCTCCTCTGTCGGAGATCATGGATGGTTGTATGGAGCCCTCCACCGGAGCAGGTTCGCATGTGCTCGAGCGCGTGGGATTAATCTGGAGACTGGACCCTACATGGACATCTAGTGGTGCAGTCTGATCGCCCTTAGCCTGCGGAGGCGGATATGGATAGTGACATGCAATAGATTTCTTGCAACAGCGAGAGCAACTGGGCACCCCGTGGTCACACCGACGCTTGGCAGCCACACATGCTCGACAAGATGTTTTGCGGAGTGACATGGCAAATTCTACAGCTGGATTGAATTCGAATGGAGGCGTTGGACATTCCGAGTTATGATGGGGGTGTCTTTAGAGCTTCAAGCTTATCCGTCATGGCGGACAAAAGTGGGTCAGCGGAGTAAGGTGGAGTTTTACATGCAGCCAATCAGTATGACGGGAGTGGTGATGTTATTACACCCATCGCAACAAACTGGACTATAGTTAGTTAGTTATAGGTGGTGCTGACAAATGCCAGAAGGGCTCTATGACAGCTCTTTTTGCAACACCCTCAGCATGTTAGAAGTTCAAGTGACTGATGCAGCACAGGAGATACCGCAGGATCCATGGTCTAAGGTAACCCATGAATGCCACTGCATCGTTCCCGATCTTGACGATAAATATGTATTCAGGTTCAGAATGGGTATTCTCCACTGTAATGGACGTCCTGGGACTGAACTGGAATTGGCAATGTCTATTCAACATATAACGCCAGAGCAAAACAGGTAGTGAGCATGATTTCCCATCTGACACATATACGTGCTATGAACAAGTGCTCTAGGAGCCCTGCGCTGTAACTGAAATTTGCTTCAGAGCAAGGTACTCCATAACAACACTTAGGACAAAAATCAAGACCAGTCGCCTTTGTCAACGACGGGCTCGTGTCTGTCCGAAGCGTCCATAAGCTCCTTGACAGTCCATGGCTCGTATCTGTAGCCCAGAGGGATATTGGTGTTCTGGAAATCTTTGCCTTCAAGAATATGACGAGCACAATTATCGTAGTTCTCATATGCATACTGCTCCGGGTTGTGGCGCATAATCCAGTTTGCAGTAGTTTTGCTGAGGATATCCGGATTTCTGGCAACCTCGTCCCAGTCCGTATTGTGGAACTTTTCTCGGTGGTGGAATCCCATCTTTTGGGCGCACGACACACGCTCAAACCTGCAAAACATAAGCAAATGCAGCCTTCTACTTTGCACTCGGATCAGAACTTGCCTTAGATAATTATGAACTCTTACAGCTAAGGGAGCATTGGTCTTCCCACCTAACTGTAGGCAGGTCGCCAGAGAGTATGCATCCTCCATGGCCATTGCCGCTCCACTCCCTGAGGTGGGCAAAAATGAATGTGCGGCGTCTCCAAGCTGAATAACACGAGCATTAGGTGAAGCCCACTTTGGTTGCGGGTTACGCCACAACAGCTTCCAGTCTGTGCAACGGTGACCTGGGGTTGCCTTAACAAGCTCCGTTAAGAAGGGTTCCCAGCCGGCGATGTACTGTAGAGCAGTGTCGGTAGACACCAACTTATCCCAATTCTCCTCGGCATTGTGGTCGTCCTACAGGACGGAATGGATTAGCCATTGCTTTTCGGAACAGGAAGATTATTCCACATACCCTATGTGTCAATATATAGCATATCTGCCTTTCAGTTTTTCCTACCACCATATGTGCTCCGGGGCCTAAGTGCAGGGAAGCGCGATCCACATGGCCCTCGAACTCCTTTGCAATGATCGGGTTCCCCAGAGCTGGACCCGCCGGGAAGGTCGCCCTATAGCAGGCAAAGCCGGAGCTGATGGGATTGTCCTTTTGCCCCAGGACCAAACGCCATGACTTTGAGCCTACACCATCAGCCGCGACGACTATATCCGCTGTGAATCTCTGTCCATCAGCTAGAACCACGCCTCCATGCCTGTCAGTCTCGAAGTATTCGTCCACTGCTTTGCCGAAGTCCACCGTGATACCGAGTTCCCGCACATAGTCCCAGAGTAAGCCGTGAAGCTCGGAACGGTTAAGGGCTGCAGATAGATTATCCCCATCACCAATGGGCCAGCTACCAATCCAAGTTCCGTCAAACTTTTTCACGTTTCGCTGGGTTTTGTAAGATATGGCCTCCAGTCTCTCGAAGAAACCAGGCCATTGCTTGACGGTGTGCAGAGCATTGCATTCTATCAGGAGCAGGTCCCCTGTCATAATAAAACCATGAGATAAGGCACTGCAATGTATACATGGGATGTTAACTCACCATAACCTTCAAAATTTGGTCGTTTCTCCAGTACCCGGACCTCGTGCCCCTTGCGATACCCCTCAATCGCAAGCGTGAGGCCACCTATTCCACCACCCACTATAAGAATGGAGAGCCCACTAGGGGGATAGCGATCCATGATAGTACATTTGTCTAGGCTTCCCATGGCTGTTTTCTTCGTCTTGATAGAAAATTGTGTTAATAGCACGAGTGATCAGGGCAAGCATTTGCAGCTCTTTTATAGCCCAGGGAGGGTGTCTGCATCGATCCCATTACTTGGACTTCGCCTATTTCGGAGGGCAGCGGATGAGTAGAGGAACAGCTTCTTCAATTGCAACTTGCGGTCTCGCACATCACCCCACTAAGTATGTTCCATACTGTTTCTCAAGTGGATCGACTTGACTCGGAGTGCATAAGCGCCCTAACCACGAGGCTAGTGCTGGAACGCACATTGTCGATCTGCAGAGTAATGGCTGCTAGATGAAATTCAATGTGAAGTGGACATTTGTTGGCATTCCCGAAGTGCTGGTCAGTTTTTTGACTCCAGAAGAAATTGACACGCTGCAACTGCAACTGATATATACAGCTTTTATACTTTCGACAGCACCCATGGTGACAATATACGCGTGGACAGCCTATCTTGCATTCGTTTCTGGTCCATTCCAGCGGTATTGTGTTTATATACGAGCATAGCTTAGTCGATCAAACGAGTGCCAGGATAGCATTCATGGGTTTTACGAAAATGTTAACCCATCACATCTTAATCCATACGACTCTAGTCATACTGCCATATCTGGACGTATCATTTGTCAACAGCTACCTTGGAGTTTCCCCGATCCGAAAATGGGCCCGGTTGACCCACTACGATCTAACATCGATTTTGACCCATATGCAACTGCAAGCCGGGAAGATGATTCCGTCTCTTCCGCTGAATAAGCCGCTTTGTATTTACAGCAGTAGTAGTTTGGGATAACCGCAAGAACGGAACATGCATGACTGTCCGGCTCTTCCGCTGAATAAGGGGCTGTGTCAGGGTCCACTTGTTATTAACAATTGCCAGGGCACTCCAGAACATATCCTACTGCATGATAGGTAACGCCAAGCTAATCACCGCTTCAGACGGATACGTAGTCCATATCCAACTACAAATAGGGTCAGACCAAGAATTCCAGCTTCCGTGCTCACCAAACTGCTCAGCCACACCTGGTATGCCGGGCGTGTAGATAGCGGAACCGATACAGATGGAAAATGTGAGAAGGCAGATAAGTAGGCTAACTAGGATGTTTTTGCTGATGCTTCAATTTTGCGAATTCTATACAATTAGCCTGGATGGTCACCTTGCCAGCCTCTGCATGTGTCGTACCTCGCTCTCATCCATCATGTATCCCACGCCATAACCTGCCAAACACTTTTCAGAGGGGGCCCTTTACCACCACCTACACTAAGCCTGCAACATAACCGTATACAAGGCATGCTGCTCGTAAAGCCTTCGCTACTAGTCTCCGTCGTTGCTCCTTCCTGGTAGGTGTCTGGCGTTTGTAGGTATTTTCGTCGGGTCTACCCATCCAGTTCTTCCGGATACGGAAAGAGCCTGTAGCCAGTAAAGAAATGAACTAATTTGCCGAAAGCTGAGTCGCGAACTGTATCCATGGTGATGTGTACGCCGTAGACCTTTGCAAACTGAAGCATTCAGCGAGTGCAGCTTAAATGCAGCTATTTCAATACCTGGGAGAGTTGTTCTTCCATTAAACTACAGACGTCATCTCATTTAAGGAATGTTTAATAACTGTGGATTGTCAGGACATGTGGTTTTTAACTCGCTGCCGAGAGATTTCCCTTTAAGGACAATGTTATATGTTCGCCGAATCACAGCCAGCAGCTGATTGTACTGAGGCTGATCCCTGAGTTATGGGGTAAAGAGTTCTCTATAGTACTGGGGTCCGATGCATTGCCTTGTGATCATTACGCTCGAGACATTCAGTTCTTCGGTAAATAATACCGCTGACATCAGGTTCTCAAAGGGTCCATGAATCTTCCATCGCTGGTCCATATTTTAAGTAAGGTTTAGTGGCGGGCGGTTTGATCAGATGGTTTGTGGGGGTTAGCCGATATCTTGCAATGCGCCACACAGCACGGTCTGGGTACATGAAAGTTTCTTTCCAATGCCAGTGGTGTGACCATTTTACTCTTGTCACGTCAAAATACAGGTATGATCCTTGCTCGAGCTGATACATTAGATAAGGTAGATGTGGCATTTTCAAGGTTTTCTTATTGTCAGCTTCCAGGTCCCATGGTAGTCTGCTTCTGCGTATGTGTTGTCACCATCGCTTATATTAACACATTTATGAGGGCTATACGCCATATATCCAAGTAGAACACACATAACTGAATCCCCCAGTGCAGGCCATGCGATATGAAATGTTGCATGCCATGATGCACCAAGCGACGGGGTGACAATAAAGCCAAGATCTTAATCACGACAAGATGGCCACACGCTGGTGGCTTGCGTCGGCAAGCTTCCCTGTTGTTGCGGTACTTTCCCCTAGAATTCCCGGTTTAAAAGAAGATCTGACGGACGATGCCGCCAGGGGGTATTATGTGCATTGGCCATAATGTTCAATATTTGCGCCGTATCCCAAGGATGGCGAGAGATAATAGACCCCGACGGAAGCGTAAGCATCATGGCTCAGCCGGCATGGTACGACATGCACTCCTTTCTCTGCATCTAATCGAGTACTAACCAAAACCAGGGCCGTCGCACTTAAGGCTGTGTCGCTGGCATTCGCCGTTGTCGCTTACCTCCTACTCCTGCTTACAATGGTATCCAAACATGATCCGGTAAAGGGATTCATCGCGACAGTACTGTGCTGGTGCTCCTCTGCAGCAACACTACTTACTGTCATCGGTGTTATAGCTGGGGAACATACAATAGTGAACCCTCAGCAGACCCTTCAGTATACGCAAAATTACTTCTATGCCACATTTGCTGCTGGCCTCTATATACTGATTGCTGTGTTGTTGGCAATCTACACATGCAGTGTGCGGTCGGTGCATCTGACCCACGACGAAAGGCAAACAGTCGAATGTACGAGCATCATCCTGCGAGTGGGGGCTTTCTCTGTCTTTCTGCTTGCGGGGGCTGCTGTCTACGCGACTATTGAGGGTTGGACGTTTATGGATGCATTATATTGGGCGGACTACACACTTCTGACAATCGGCATCGGAAATATCGCCCCGAAGACTCACCTTGGACGAAGCTTGTTATTTCCTTATGCCTCTGCGGGAATCCTGAATACAGGTCTAGTTATCACCTCAATAACGTCATTTACCGAGAATATTCGAGAACTAAGCATCAGATTCAAGATTGAGGAAGTGCACAGCGGCATGCAAGGGCGCCGATCGGTCGACAACGGTCACAGTGACAGGGAGAAGCAAGCACGGGAAACGCCAGCTGAATCTCGGTATCCAAAAAAGGCTGACCTTATGAAGTTGCAACGCATCAAGCGTGACTTCTATAGAAGGCATCGATGGACGACTTTGATTCTCTCCGGGATCGCATTGTTCTTCCTCTGGCTAGTCAGTGCTGCCGTCTTCCGTCACTCGGAGAGAAGCCTGAAGTGGACTTATTTCCAGGCCCTCTATTTCACATACACGTCTCTGACAACCATCGGTTACGGAGATCTATACCCCACCAGCAATTTTGGGAAAGCATTTTTCGTGTTCTGGTCCCTTCTGGCTGTCCCCGTATTGACTAACCTCGTTGCTGCCATGGGGCAATTGGGTTTTGAGAAGTTGACTTATTTGTTGCGCTATCTTTGGAAACTTCAAGCTTCAAGACTGAGCAGGATGAACCCTGATTCTCACAACGAGGGAGCGAGAAATAAATCAGTCCCAGGCCCAGACCTGGTTATTGACAGCAACAGCTATTTCCTAAGCCTCACAAACGCCGGACAACCATCCAACAATGTACCAGGCAGTTCAGAATATGAAAAGAACGAGGGTGGTGCATCACTCCTCCAAGCCGCTCAGCGCTCCCTTTTGCTCGGCGTGGAAATTGGCAAGCTCATATCTATACTTCAAGGTTCGGCTACTACCCAGCTTGATCTGGGGAGTGAGTGGGACAGGATCCTTCCACTGCTCCATCCTGAAAGCGATGGGTATGGCTTGTTGGAAATCACTTCTCCTACAACCATGTACAGCCGTAGAGGAACTGTACTGGAGTTTTTGGACTCTGACAGGCCGGCTACAGACATGAACAAAGAAATTCTGTGGATGCTGAAGTTCTTGACGGAGAAGGTGTGCTCGAACTTACGAGAGGGCTTGCAGCGAGAGGAGAGTGAAAGGTCAGGCGCATTATCCTAAGCCAAGAATATCGGTTGGATGTGTCCAATCACCTAATACACGACCTTTTTCAATTAGCCAATATTATCCCCGGCATTCGGCCTGCTTCTGGACACAATCCTACTAGAAAATTGAGCAAGGTTTGCTTGTGATAACGTCTGTTAGCGTCCTCGCCCCAATAGCCCACCGGCATATTGGGAAAGCCAGCAATAGTCACCCAGTTCGCCGGGCGTGCCATCGGCAACAGTCACACCCTTGGCTCCAGCCCTGCAATTGCATGGATCATAAAACCTCGACTGAATTCTAATATGTGATAACTATAAGATGCCTTCATATTGGGTGCTAGAGTAGTTAAATATTACTATACACAAATGGTGCGCAAATAGATTCATGAGATCAGTAGGACGGCGCAATAGGAAAATCAACCTCCATTCCCTCAAGTCTAGTTTCCAACATTATTATTCAATATTGAACGGTTCAAACAAATATAAAACTAAAGACTAAGCTAAATAAAAAGTCCATGTATGGATATCGAAAAATCACATGAAGGTTGAAGTTGTCAGAGGTACTGTTAAAAGCTTCCGTACGCAAGGAATAACCGACACACTTCCGGAGTTGGACCCCAGCTACACCCCGTTATGTGGAGAGACTCCGTGACGGTTGACTACTGTCAGTCCTCTTATGCTCATGAAACACAAACAGACCGCCTAGCCATTTAGTTGTGCCACTCCGAAAACGATGAGTAAGTGGCGTATTCTCAAGAACTTAAACGTTGAGCGTCTTTGAAGTCACGTTGTCACCAGAAGCAAGCCTGGTCTAGACCATCAGGGCAATGAATCGTTTGCTGGGTTCTGGGGAGTGCGATGACAAGTCAGCCACGTTGAATGAACCGTGGCAGGCAGCGATTATCGGGTGATCCTGCGGGGCTTATCCGGGATCATATCCATGGAGACATAACCTAACCGGGCTGCGGAGAAAGTATTGTGTTTGCGTCCTCCAATGGCCGAAGTTTGCGGAGCTCATTTTCGGTCGTACCCTTATCTCTGTCCCGCCGTGTACTCAACCATGAGGCGTGGCGGATGGTTGCTCGCTCATGAGCATGGGTGATAATATATTAGGACTCCTGCAACATGCATCTGGCGCGAAGCTGCTGAACCACCTTCCTCGTCTGGTATATTTAGTAAATGTTGTCTGTCAGAAATGAGCTTTTGAGGGAAATATAATGGAGACATTACTTCTCCCAGACATTGCCTGCCACTCCGGAAGGCAGACTGTTGGCCATCAAAGAGGGATTCAGCTCAATTTTGCACTAATTGAGCCCGTGGTATTTTTGCAAGGGCACAGCATTGGTAGCAGTGCTTGCAAAGACAAGGCGGCCATTGTTCGCGGGTCTCTACATATGAAAGTCACTGAACCGGTCGAAATGAAACAGATCTGCATCTACTTTCGAGGGCTAGTTAAACTAGAGCTATCGGAAGGTCTGTCGTCAATCCATCTTGTCTTAGGATTGAAGCTCGCTCCCTTTTCAATATGCTATTTTCCTGGCCCAGTGGAGCTTGTGGGGAATAGGGACGTGATCACGTCTGGTATCACCTACTTCGACCGCGGGCAGACAACACAACCAGGCAATGTCTATGGAGCCGATATATGTCACATACTGGACCGATCTGGAACAGATACAGAAAGCGGCCAACACAGCAGAACCACCACTGAAGCGTCTTGGAGAGACCGATCCCTTCCTAAATGTAATATTGGCGGCTTACAGCAGCCTGGACTCTTGGGACCCGTCACCAAGAGCGCTCTATTTCCCGCTGGTGATTATCTGTATAACTTTGAATTCCTCCTGCACAACTCCCTCCCGGAGACCATCAATACGGAACTGATATCCACCCGGTACTACCTGGAAGCTCAGATTGAACCGTCTGGACCATTTTCTTCAAAGGTAGTTTGTCAGGTTGATGTCCCGGTCATTCGACTGCCAGCATAAAACTCACTGGAGCTGACTGAGCCGATCGTCTTCTCCCGGAAATGGCGTGAGCAGCTGTACTACGATGTTTGCATTTTCGGAAAATGTTTTCCTCATGGCTCACAGATACCAATGAGGGTGAAATTGACTCCCCTGGTCAACCTACAATGTCACTGGATCAGGGTATACGTGTCTCAGCATGTACGGCATCAGACAAAGGGCCAAACAACTCGGTTCCTGCAGCTGCCGACGAAAAGGGTGCTTCTGTTCGAAAAGCAGCCTGGCCTTGCAAGTTACACCTCCTACCCAGGCAGCACCATGCGAATTATGACAGGGCCTCCCGGCATCCAAAGCATGAATCTGCTAGGGGAAGAATTTGAAACCTCGGAGATCAACTTAGAGGTCCAATTACCTCGATGCCAGGAAACGAGGACCAAAGGAAAAGGGCAATGGCTTCACTTCAGCACCAAGGGCGGTAGTCCTGAGGTGAATCATTGGATCCAGGTAAGGAAGATCCAGATACCCCGTAATGCGGCCGCAAGCACACTTTAAATTCCAGACCCTGGATGCTGACTTACACGCAGATTGTCCTGTGTCTTTCGATAAAAGACCAAGACGGTATGGGCTCAAGCAAACCTCGGCCTGTAGAGTTGACCATCGAGTCACCCTTCACTATCCTGTCGTGCAAGGCCACACCGGCAAATATCTATGTTCCGCCATATGAGGTAGAAGGTGATATCGAATTGGCTGCGTCTCATGAAGGCCAATGTGGCTGTGGCCACAGTCCCCGGTCAATATCGCCAGCCTCAAGGCACGAAGCAGAAGCACGTCAAACCGAAGCGAGGGACAACTTGACGTCCCTTGAAGGACAACTCCCTAAAGATATTACGCAGCCCCTCAGATTTGATAGTATCTCCAGTTTCATTAAGCAACCCGCTCGAGCCCATTTACCTGATTGGGCCCTTGCTTCTGATGAACTTCACCGGCGACCTGATCCGTATAGAAGCAGGCAATGGTATGGTGGATAACCTTCTCATATCCTCGGCTTGCCGATACTTGATGATCCTCTGTAATGCATGACCTTCTACAATCAAATTGCTTGACAGTTTACGGGAGGGTGGTGAGTTGTTTTGAAATAACTTGGCGCGGTATGTCCTCCTTCACGTCCATGTCGGCGCCCGCTGGGCTGGACTTAATAGTGCTGACCTCCAGAAAGCCGCCTATTGTATTATCCTCTCTGTGGATTTCTGAGACTCTTCATCAATAAATATCCTTCTGAATTCACATGATCCTAGCGCCTTGGCCGACTTAGACTTGCTCCAGGTTGTTCTAAAGACAATGTCCGGGCCTCTGCAGACAAGCAGCTCCCCGTTTTCGGTCCTCCGTCGTGAATCACAAAGACAATCCACTTTCCCGTGGCTCAATAATGAATCATAATTGCCAGTTCATCGCCTTGTTTATGCACCCTGGCAAACAGGCCGTTTTAGACGTTTAGATGTAGAAGACGACAACCATTCATGTTGATTCAAATCTTTGCCTTCTGTCGTATCAAACCGCCCAGCCGAAAAGGTGTCTACGCAATCATCTGTAGTTAATAGAGATGATTGCAGCAGGGCCAACACAGCAGGGATACAACACCTTCGGAGACCCGGTTCATAGTTCTTATAATAACCCTGCGCTGACTGTTCAGGTCTGCGGATCTATCACCCTGCTGCAGTCGTGCTATGTAAGGGGCTTGCGGTGGTGACAATGTCAAGCCCGTTCCTTCACTATTACCCTGGCTCCATGTGGCTTTCACTGACCTAAGACCAACCACTTCTGCTCAAGATTTTCTCATACATCAGTTACAGCTGCTTTCAATCAGCTAGTGTGCAGAACCTAAGATAACGATTGTCTCCATCCAGGTTCCAGGAGGAAGATTTCTATTAAAGTGTTAGACGAGTAGAGTTGAAGGAGCAGCACTGGGCAAGATGTCTAATCCTGTCCGAGGTTCAGGAGAGATGAAGCACTCCGAAATTCGCATGCCGGAGTTTCTCTGGAAAGTGATAAGCGATGCAACCCCTTTATATTCAGCCGGGAAATTCCAACGGCGCATAGTACCAATATAACGGGACAATGTAACTATAGGCATTGCGGGCCGGAGTCCGAATCCATCAGGAATACGGTAGGTTTTGGGTTCCGCAGGTCCGCCGTATGTGTCTGAAGATGCCTGGTGATCGTAGTACACCATATGAATCTAGCAGTTATCATACAATTCGAATTCAATAAGATTTCCCATATTTTTGCTGTTTTTGAGGAAACGTAGATGCACCTGCTGGGATGGTGCTGCAGGTGCCCTATCTCACCGCGATATTATCATATTTCTTTCTACAATATCGTCACGCTTAGGAGTAATATATATGTCCGCAATTCCCCGCATCGGCAAATTGGTATACTCATAATTCTGGGCATATTCTTCCATTAATATGTTTCTTCCTCCAATCCCACCTGCATTGCATCCTGCAGGCGGCGCCACTCCCACAACATGGCTTGTTACCCCCGTGCAGATGACCATAGACAGCGCTGTAATCACATAGGAAATCCACCGAGCAGAATTAAGGCACAGACTTCCCAGTATTCACGTGGTTTGTGCGGTCATTTGCCGGACTCCACACTGAACTCCACATATCCGTCATTCTGCAAGTAAGTATGGGGTGCATCACGGGGTCGACATGCCTCGGAAGGGCATCCGTGGTGAATTCGTCACTAGTCAATCTAAGCAATGAGTTCTGCTCCTGAAAGTCAACGGTGCTCGGCCCCTTGTGCCGAGAGTTCGTGCTTTGCTACTTGCGGGACCATCACATGGGGTCATTATCGATCCGGCTGGAGGAATATGCAGAAAGTCTTACACGTATCACCCATGTTCAATACGCGCGAGGCTTCCCCATGCTCCTCAGAATTAGAGCCAGATTCGTATCATCATGGAAGTGCAGATATTCCATCGACAGACAGCCGTGCATCCTGACCTGGAGAGGATAGATTGCTTTACAATCGGATTGGGCGGGGGGCGGAGATAGCTCCGTGAAGATGAGGATACTTAAATCCCCATAGCGCTGGTCTTCGGCCACAATGCGCCTGTCAAGGCTTATGAGCTCTCACCGCCAAGATGATGCATACCCTGAACGTGGTCTTGCTGGCTGCCGGCCTCTTGTTTGATGTAGCCCACGCAGCCGCATCACAAGCTTACACCTGGAAGAATGTGGTTACAGGGGGCAAGTATAGTGCATACCGCCTCGTTGATCCTCTCACTGACAGCAATATCCAGGAGGCGGTGGTTTCGTTCCTGGAATCGTTTTCAACCCATCAGCCAAGGGGGTAGCGTACGCTCGTACTGATATTGGAGGCGCGTACCGTCTCAACTCGGACGACACATGGACGCCTCTCCAGGACTCTGTAGGCAACAGTAACTGGTATGTAACCTAATCCGTAAGTGAGATTAACTGACGATTTAGGCATGACTGGGGTGTTGATGCACTCGCTACCGATCCCGTTGATACCAGCCGCCTGTACCTGGCGGTTGGGATGTACACGAACGAATGGGACCCCAACGTCGGCTCAATCATGCGCTCGACCGATAAGGGTAATACTTGGTCAGAGACCAAGCTACCCTTCAAAGTTGGAGGAAATATGCCTGGACGTGGTATGGGCGAGGTAGGTAACAGTACTTTCCCCCTGCATTGCTTGTTTCTCGGCTAAGACCATGTAGCGCCTTGCTGTAGACCCTAACAAGAACAGTATTCTCTACTTTGGCGCGAGGAGTGGCCATGGCCTCTGGAGAAGTACTGACTACGGAGCGACCTGGTCTAATGTCACGTCTTTTATTTGGACTGGTAAGAGATAATGTCGAATGATGCCATGTGTGCGAGAAACTGACCACAAATAGGGACGTACTTCCAGGATGCCAGTTCCACGTATACGTCCGACCCCGTTGGTATTGCTTGGGTTACATTTGATTCCACGTCTGGTTCAAACGGCTCTCCCACTCCACGCATCTTCGTTGGTATGTTTCAAGAGTAGAAAATTTAGAACAGTAGTCTAATTCTTTCTAGGAGTTGCGGACACTAGTAAATCAGTGTTTGTCTCTGAAGACGCCGGATCTACATGTAGGTTCTTCACGTCTACTAGAGTCACTACTTCTATTAACTCGAAGATAGGGTCCTGGGTTACTGGAGAGCCACAGTACGGCTTTCTACCTCATAAAGGAGTGCTGTCTCCTGCTGAAAAGACTCTGTACATCTCTTATTCCAACGGAGCAGGCCCGTACGACGGCACCAATGGAACGGTACATAAGTACAACATCACCAGCAAGGTGTGGACCGACATCAGCCCTACGCCCATGGCAAGCACATACTATGGTTATGGCGGTTTATCTGTTGACCTGCAAGTCCCTGGGACATTGATGGTAGCTGCATTGAATTGCTGGTGGCCGGATGAGCTGATCTTCAGAAGTGTGGATTCTGGAGCTACGTGGTCCCCCATCTGGGCCTGGAACGGATATCCCAACCTGAACTACTACTATAGCTACGATATATCAAATGCCCCTTGGCTGCAGGATGACACCTCAACAGCTCAGTTTCCCGTTCGTGTCGGCTGGACGGTCGAGGCTCTCGCAATTGATCCATTCGACTCTAACCACTGGTTGTACGGAACCGGAGCGACAATTTATGGTGGCCATGACCTCAAGCAATGGGACACAGTGCATAATGTCACCTTGAAATCTCTCGCCGTCGGTATCGAAGAGATGGCTGTCCTTGGACTCATTTCTCCTCCAGGCGGACCACCACTGCTCTCTGCTGTTGGCGACGTTGGAGGATTCTACCATTCAGATCTAGACAAGGCACCGGCTCAATCCTTCCATAACCCAACATACGGCACTACCAACGGCATTGATTACGCTGGTAACAAACCATCCAATCTTGTTCGCTCGGGAGCCAGCGACACGCTTCCTACCGTTGCTATGTCTACGGACTTTGGCAAAACCTGGTCGGCAAACTACGCAGCGTCTTCCACCACACCTACCGGGCAGGTTGCTCTCTCTGCGGATGCCGATACAGTCCTGCTCATGAACTCCAATGGAGTCATGGTGTCAAAGTACAGCAGCACATTCAGTGCCGTCTCGTCTCTACCCTCCGGTGCGGCCATTGCGTCTGACAAGTCCAACAATACCGTCTTCTACGGCGGATCGGCTGGCGCGTTCTACGTTTCCACTGACGGCGCCACCTCGTTCACCAAGACTGCATCCCTTGGCTCCAGCACCGCCGTCAATGCCATCCGCGCCCATCCCTCTATTGCCGGTGATGTCTGGGCTACTACCGATACGGGACTCTGGCATTCGACAGACTACGGTAAGACCTTCACTAAGATTGACGGAGGATGCACAGCAGGCTGGAGCTTCGGTCTCGGCAAAGCTTCGCCGACCGGCTCTTATGCCGTCATCTACGGCTTCTTCACCGTCGACGGGACAACAGCACTCTTTAAGACCGAGGACATGGGTATGAACTGGCAAATGATTTCCGATTCTACGCACGGCTTTGGAGCTGCGTCTGCTAATGTGGTCAATGGCGATATGTCAAACTACGGACGTGTATTTGTGGGCACGAATGGAAGAGGTATTTTCTACGGTCAGCCGAGTGGAAGTCTCCCGTCTCCGACAGCTACGGCGACTACAACCAAGACGACCTCGACGAGCACAAAGACGTCTGGTACCACCACGTCTTCCACAACACTGAGCACGACCACTAAGACGTCGACAACAACTACGAGTACCACCAAGACTACGACATCGCCAACCTCTACAGGCACTAGTACCCCGTATGGACAATGTGGAGGTACAGGATACACCGGTCCAACTGCGTGCCCGAGTGGGTGGAAGTGCACTTACCAGAACGCGTATTACTCTCAGTGTGAGTTCGAGCACCTTAAGAAGACTGGAAAACACTTGGACAGATGACTGACCGGTCGGCAGGCCTGCAGTAAAGGAGGGAAGCTCGAGGACAATCGATTGATCGGACAGTGGTCTAGGCTCTCGCGGCTCTTGTACTGAGCATGTCTACATATATATTAACATTGGAGACAACCTTCGCTTACCCAACGATTAGGTAGAAACAACGCAGCAGCCCACTGACTTGTTCCCCCGAACTCAATGAGTAACAATTCTTCTTTTCCGGGTCGTTTAATCTGGGTCCCGCAATTACGGTTGCCACTAAACCAATAATTGAATATGCACGTGTGTCTAGAAGAGCGGGAGCGCTTTAGTCGCGACGTTTACCCCTTAGCTTGGTGGGCGCCTCCAAAAGATTAAGAATCAAACGGGGAGCTTTACTGGCCAATAATAGCAGAATGATTTGCTCAACTACGACTGCAACAACATGAAACAATGCCGATAATCCTTAGGCGCCAACGGCGTTGCCGCCATTGGAGGTACGATAGTGGGCGGCTAACCAAGCCCTCGCGGAATGAGAGCAAGACATATGAACCACTAGAACGGACTATGCCACACAAAATGAAACAGTTCAAACATAAAAATAGTACAGATGGTGATCACTTACTGCTTCGACGGCGCGATCCTGGAAAGGATATCGATATAAGATGCAGCGGACGCGGACTCGCCTGGTTGTACCATCATTTTCTGTCGTAATGATACAGGACAGCTTATACCATCTGCATTTCTGGAGAATGGAGCCCTAAAGCCATACTTTCACGGGAGCAGTAATTCTCAATATAAGGTTGTGCCCACGATGACTCGTTGTTCCCGCCAGGTACGCCGGCAACAGTTTACTATTGCCATCATTTGTGCCCTGCCGCATGAGGCACGAGCGGTGGAAACTGCATTCGACGAGATATTCGACCGTGGCAGCGGCACCGACTTAGCATCACACCCGCAAGACAAGAACAAGTATACATTAGGGAGGATTGGCCATCACCATGTCGTCTTGGTCCATATGCCGGCAATGGGAAAGCTGTACGCGTCGACCGCGGCGGCAAGTATCGTGCTGAGCTACCCCAGTATAAAGCTAGGGCTAGTCGTTGGAGTGTGTGGGGGAGTTCCATACACTCAGGATGGGCATGATATAGTTCTCGGCGATGTGATTATCAGCACCGGGCTGTTGTTATACGACGAAAGTAATGCGTTAGCCTTCGACAAGCTCAATCCCCTTGCCTTCAACACCGGGAACAGGGTTCAGCCTAATGGGAAACCCCAAGCCCTGATACAAAAGCTGTACTCTGCACGGGGATACCAGCGTCTCTTAGCGAACACGGTCGACAATTTGACTCTGGCCCTGAACATCCTTGGAGAAGGGCAGTTCGGCTACCCAGGAATGCAAGAAGATCGGCTTTTCTCTCCTTCCTACCAACATCAACATCGGAGCCCTGTTCAATGCGATGTTTGCAGCAGCTCTGGCAATAGGAAACAGTTTTGTCACCAGGCTTTCAAGTCAACTTGCGAACAGTTAGGTTGCTTTGAGGATGCGACACAATTGATGCGGGTACGGGCAGAACCTTCGAATGAGTCATCACCAGTTCCTCTTCCGACCATCCATTTTGGGCCGATAGCCACTGGCGATAGCGTCATCATGTGCGGTGAAAAGCGCGACGAGTTGGCTGCTAGCGACGGTATTGTTGGCTTCGAGATGGAAGCAGCTGGGGTGTGGATGCATTTCCCTACCGTCGTTATTAAGGGGGTCTGTGACTATGCCGATTGCCATAAGAGCAAGAGATGGCAGAACTATGCCGCTGCAAGCGCAGCATCTTGTGCAAAAGCATTCTTGTTAGAGTACCCAGCAGAGTCTCCCCAAGCCTATCCTGTCCACTCGCCAGAAAAGACGATCATTCGCGATAGGATTTCACATGCTGCTCTCAGCCATGCCCGACTTCTGTTCCAGTCAGTGCTTGATCTTTTTGCGAAAGTCGCCACGGTCTCAACAATGTCGAGTATCTCAGACACAGTCAAAATGATTGATGTGTTCCACATTTCATCCAGCCTTTGGACTTATTTTTGTATCGCTGCATTGGCGTTCGTGACTGGATACTTTTATGCCTCTGCTGGGGCTCACCTTGTGGAGGCCGCGGTTGGCTGACGCCTTAATAACCGTCCATATATATGCGTGTCAGCAGCGAAGTTACACTCATGTATATCCTTGCCATGTTCACTACTATTACGGAATTCCATATAGACTTATACTTGATGAAAGCGGGAGGGAACCGTTCAGACTTCGCATGACGTTCTACATAGAACCATGAGACTGCGAGTCTAGTCTCTGCAGCATCGATACTGTAGAGTACACGGGCTGTTTCCGAGGCATTTAGTATAGGGAAAGGATAAGACAGAGACATTATCAGTGCCTAGATCAAGTCACCTCTTCGCAGTGTTTGTCATCATTTGGTCCATTCGTTCGTCCCACCCATCAGAAACTTGCTCATTCTAGACGGTCCCATGGCCTAGAACAGGACAGCCTGCAGCGGCCCCAGCTGCATCTACTCCCTCCTTGTTCTCACCCTCGACTTTCTCCTCGCGGGCGATCTGGCGGAACATGTCCATAGGGTCAAACCAAACTTCAATCTTCTCAAGCTGCAGCGAACTGTTGACCTTGGCAACGACGATGCCTTGGATATCAATCAGACCACCATGCGCTTTGACAGTAACCTTTTCTCCTCGACTGGAACACTGATTAGTATCCATCTTTCATTATCCGGGAACGCAGACATACTTGTTATACCCAACATAATCATTCTTCATGTACCCCCAATGTCTCCACTTGAAGATCACAACCGGAGGCCCGCTATACACCTCCAAGACCTCCCATGCAAACGTCGGCATCATGCGCTTAAACGCCTTGTGACTCGTCGAGAAATCATTATGTTCGGGATCGTAGTAGGAGCTGGATGTAAGGAGAGCGTTGTAAGTGCCCACCCGGAGCATGTGGTCGCCTGTCTGGGGAGGTCCGCCGTTCAGCGAGAAGGTATATTTGCTGTGGTCGATTGTGCGCCAGTCGTCGAGAGAGGTCTTGAAGGATGCTTCGATCTCCCAGTTTTTGACAAGGTTCGAGACGAGGTCGGGGAGGCTGCCTGCCTGGTGGGTCATTTGTTTTGCTGGGGCGCGTATGATTAGTTCTATAGGGATCTATGACATGGGCCTTGAGGGTGTTGCCTACTCTCTTCGTAAAATGCCCTTGTTTTTGAGTAATCCGGAGGCGCGCCATGGCGCCAAGCAGCGTCTTTGTCGTTCAAGACGGCGTTGGGGCCAAGGACATAGTCTGGAAGAGCGTCTGCGTCACCCATTTTGATGATTTGAGTAGTATCTATCTCTGTGAACAAAATGAATTCTGGAGAAATTGAAACTGTCGCAGAGAGGCACAGGGGGGTTAATAATACCCCCGCCCCTCGTCTGACATCCCTGCTGGCCTTGGGTGTAGCATGGAGACGGCATAAGCGAGGCACAACAGAATCAACAGGGATTAGAAAAACAGATTTCTCGGTATAGGATAACCCTGTCGACCGTTGGCTAATCCCTGTCGCTTCAAATTAAGTATGCTGGCCGAGACTGTTCCCCATGCCATGACCTAATTGGACAATAGCTCTGGCGTCCAATGAAGTCCTCCGTGTTTCATTATCAAGAGAATCTTTTGTTGTACAAAGTAAATGAATAAAGATTAATAATGACTGCTAGCATGTGTCTAGCATGCGTCTGGCCCGCGCCAGACAGGGTCAGCCTCGGCTATGTTCCATCATCAATATGACTCCCTCATCAACCACAGCGATTGTGCCATTCGACAAATCTTCCGTAGTGGTCAATACCATCGTTTTATATGTTTTAGGTATATAGAAAGTAGTTTCAGACTCAGTCAAATTGAGCTTCCCTGGTTCAGGATGGCAGCCATAGACGGGTGTACGAGACTAACAGTTTGGACTTTGCTGACGCTAGTAAAGATAGCTAGAGGGCAATCAGAGCTATCCAAGGCACGATTGGTTGCTATTCTCGGAAATCTGAAGTATTTCTTAGGAAGAAAGATCTTGTGGGGCAAGCAATATATCCTTCGATGCTGATTTGCTAGGCAATCTATCCCATTACTCGACTTTCAAGCAAAGATTGGCGATTGAGCAGCAATCCCACTCGACGGATATCTGATTGCGAAGGAGTCTGCCTGTAAGGCAAAAACCTGTAAATCGAAACGTATGATGCATATCCAATGAAGGAAACGCGGATTGTTAAGAAGCAATTTTCAGCATGGATATGCGTTTAGCCGACTTTTGCGAGTCATTTTGTGGGCCTGGCTTACAGCCTAGCAGGGGTTCCTGAGGCCGTGAAACAGGAACAAACAGCATTATTGGTCCCCGATGGCATGCACTTTCGTTTTTAATCTATTGTTAAAGTGCTGTCTTGGCAGAAAATTACTCCAGAAGGTAAGCAAAGTTTTGCAAATTGAGGGGCATTCATGTCACAACACAGCAGAGCCACAAAACATACACAGCTACAACGGACGAGTGAGGAATATGATCCTATGGATGTTGTCTATGGTCTCGCCTGTATTTCTCTTTGGTCGAAGAACTAACCTCAACTGAGGACCCCTGACTTCCAATAGTGATTCTGTCCGACAAAATATATATCCGCGGGCTAGACATACATTAACGCTGTTACTAGCATGAAGGTAGGACAAGACGCCGACCGTCGGGCGATTCAATTAAAGTTGAGTCTGAAATCATTGTGTATTGCCTTGAAGACATTTACATTTTCTAACCATGTAGGGATATAATCATCTGCATCCATGTAGTAGTGAGTGAGAGGATCCAGAGTGCGGAGCGAGCTTTGCGGATCCTGATCAGCGCTGATCTGCGAACCGATCACTTGGATTCGCGATCTTTGAATTTCTGGGGCGATACGACTAGATAGAATATAAGTTTAATCATGCTCTCCAGAATTCTATAGAGACTACGCGCCGAATATGAGTAAACTACAGAGCACATTGAAAAGCGGCTAAGGAGATTTGATATCACGTTCACTCCCTCATTAACTTTTAAGAATTTCCGGCAGGAATATTTTCCGAATTGAAGTCTCGGTTTTCTCGCTTTACAGATTAATCAAAAGGAAAACTAGTGCAGGATGAGCCCACTTGACGGTTCTCAAAATCGCCGTCTACTCCGGCCGAAAGTCGATGCTTCAGGTGGGCGAAGAGGCGACAGGTTTTCGGACGACTCCATTCCAGGGCAGATAACAACAAAGGCTACACTTGCCGACAACAATAATAAAAGAATACGCGGCTTTGATAAATCCTGATAACTACTCCGTACCTGACTCCATTCCCACACTGCGGTAACCCTGATGATTGGCTGGAAAACCTCAGCTCTGTGATCCTCGGGACAACTGCTTGTTCTAGACTAGTGCTCGGCTAAGCTCACCTTGTCACTTCACCAGTTCCCAAGGCGCTCATTGTGATTGACGGAAAATATCTATCTTTTCAACATCAGACTGGGTTGACACTCAAATATCTGTGCCACGTGGTTTGGCAGCTCCCGGTACTCACTGCTTCCTGAAGGCTTGATGGAAAACCACACGGACCACTGCCTTTCTGGCTCTCTGGTTGAGCTGGAAGTACACCGAGCCACTGGAAAAATGCCGTGCTGGGACCATTTCCATCAGCCGGGCCTGGTCTAGATCCTGCCAGACTATGGACTTCTTGATGGCAAGTTCAATCCAGTGACGACTCTTCGACAACTACCATACTGCAAGTCTAATGCGTCGCTTATCTTTTCCCCAACTATGACGGACGGAGCAGGCGTCGATAGTTCCAAGGGTCGGCGAATTTCTGGCCGTCGGCCCCGGAGGGCTTGCCCTACTCCGTACCTATCAATATGTGGGTAACAGAGATGGCAACGATGAGAGGCGTAAACTCTGTTTGCGCTGGGATATATAGGAGTAACACATCCTTCTCAGCTAACCACAGCGGCCTCAGGGAGAGAATATTCCCTACCTGGACCAGGGCCTGAGAATTGGGTCTGTTCAGCTCTGTCAAAATGCGTTTCTGGCACGCTTGGGGCCTGACTGGCTTAGCCAGCCTAGCAGTTGCCCAAAATGTGACCGTTGGCGCGACTGTAGCATCGACTTCTGCTGCAGCCACTGCCGCTGCTTCTTCGACTGCATCGACTACAACCCTCTCATCTCCGAGTAGGTGGACTTTTTGACTTTTAACGGACATCGGACTGACTATTGTTCCCATCTAGCCTCGTCTTCAGTGGTTGTTGTTGCTACCGACAGCTCCGGGCAGTTCACTGCAATCGGCGATGCAATCGCGTATGCTCAAAAACAAGGGATTCCTACTGTGACCGTGAAAGCGGGAACATATACACAAGCTGTCACCGTCTCTGCCACACCCTCGGTCACCATCATTGGCGAGACTGCCAATGAGAATGACTACGCGCAGAATCAGGTCACCATCTCTGCCACTAGCCCTCTCGTCATCTCTGTCAACGTCCTCGGTATTACATTCAGCAACATCAACTTTGTAAACACCGCGACGGGCAGCTATGGGGCGGCCACCATCCGAGGATCAAAGAATGCATTCTACCAATGCCAGTTTGTGTCTGCAGGAAGCTTAGGTATTACCGCCAATCTGGGACTAGGTATCATCGCCAACAGCTATATCGAGGCCCTGGACAAGGTAATCTACAGCTATCCCACTCTGTACATCTACAACACCACCATCGTACCTGTTGGGTCCAGCGCCCTTCTTGTTTACAACAAGGGCTACACATCGGGAACCACCCTGTACAACTCGACCGTCGTCTTTGATTCTTGTTCGGTCCAGCAGAAATCTGGCACGAGCAACAAGAACGTCTACTTGGCAGCAGCAAACAATGGCGGAGGATCTGTCGTCGTCTTCCGGAACACGTACCTCGCGGGTCTGATTACTGCTACAGGTGTGCATGTCGACACGGCAACTCAGAACACCCTCAATTTCTACGGGGAATACGGGACCACAGGAGCGGGGTCCTATTCCAGCAATCAGGCCTCTCGCTCGCAGTACATTTCTCTGATGGGTGCGTCGGACCTGATCCGTTTTTCCATAGACCAGGTATTTGCGGG